ATAGGATGTTGACACAGAGAAAAGGTTTCAGTATTAAACATGTTATTCCCAAATTGTAGCTTCCATACAGCTCCATAATGTCATGACTGTACCTATCTGATGAAAGTGGAGAGGAGGAATTACAGGAAAAATAATGAAATTAATGAACAAACAGAAGCTTAATTAATTCAGTGTTATAAATGTCACGTTACATTCTAAAAATAAAACACTGGGAAGAGCATACCTGAGCCACATTACTCAGGAGGATACAGAGAGCAGTGATGTGTCAGTTTGATCACATATGGAGAATTAGGCAATTTTCAAAAGGCCAAATGAATGTTAAGGTTCCTAGCAGAGAGACTGATGTTATCCTGCATTACTGCTTACCAAAATTGCCTTCTGCAAAGTTGAAATAAAGAACAATGAAATGTTCAATTGGAACCTCACCTGGCGAGTTTCTATGCATGTGTAACTCTCCATGAAGTAAACAGGAGTTTTGCATGCTGTTTTGTGGCAAAGATAGTGGATAATGGGATGCGGGTGATGTAGCCTGGATTCCTGGCTCTGCCGCAGGGTTTCTCTGTAACTTTGGGCAGATCACTGGTTCTCTGTTTGCCTCAGATCCCCAATTGTCCTTTCTTCTAGCCTTTGCAAGTCTTATTTCTTTAGACTGTAAACTCATTTGGGCAGGGGCTGTCTCCAATTATGTGTAGGAACAAAATCTAGTACATTGGGGTCCTGAAATCAGCTGGGTTTTTTAGATGCGGTGGTAATATAAAGAGCAACAACAACAAGAAGTGGTTACTAAATTGACAAGTGTAATATTGAAAATTAAAGGATGTCTGGCGACTCTGGATCATGTCAAAAGCCACATTCTGACTGGCTGCTTGAGTCTTTTAATGACATCATGCCCATGCACCATATCTCAACAGGGCACAGCTGGGACTTCCATAGTGTTAGCAATGAAATCTAGCTATCACATTTCTATGGTCCCCACTACCGTGGTGCCTAAGCACATCACAATTTTTGATGTGTTTATCCTCTGTGAGGTGGCAAGTATTTTTACCCCCACTCTAAAGTGGGGGAACTGAGGCACAGGGAAAACTAAGTAACTTGCTTTAGATGACAAAGGAAATCTGTGGCAGAGCAGGGAATTTAACTCATGTCTTCTAAGTCCCAGGTTAGAGCCCTAAACTCTGGACCTCCCTTCCTTAAGGGGAAGGACAAAATGTAGCAACTGTCAGGAAACAGAACCCAATAAAATAGATCCAAAGTAACAGGGAAAAGTTATTTACAAACCTTTTCCTACATGTATTTGTTCACTTTTCTACTAGGAACTATTTGTCATGGAAGAAGGATACATTGCATAACCACTCCTGGAATTGTTTTATTTTTAAAACTGAAAGGTAAATATAAATCACAATCAGGATGTGCATGAGTAACCTACTGGTGACCTATTAATGTTATTCAAGGCATTAGATCTTTGGCCTCATACTTTCCAATACACCTGAGATGTCCCACCCGTTTTCTATTAGTATGCAACCTGTGGGTTTATGGTTATAATTAACCTATCTCTACCATTGCAAATGTTATCAATCACATAAATAGTACCATCCCAACTACACATCCAATGCATATTTTAACACAGGAAAATTAATACATATATATTCACCACAAATGATTGAACATCTTTACAGGTTATGTTTTAAAAGTATAGCCCATACCTGCTGCTTGCTTTTACTCGTGGCAGAAACTGGATTATTACCTTCAAAGGTATGGAGGTCTTTTTCATAAATACTGGTTTTGATGCAACATCCTTAGCATGAAGAATGTTGTGCCTGATTCTCCTTCACCATACGCCCGTTTTATGTGAGTCTAACTTCACTGGGCTCACTTAAATTATTCTTGTTTTACACCAGTATAAGTAGGAGAAAATTGAAGCCCAACTTTGCTGAGATCCCTGCTATGAAACCTTCTCCAAGTCTAACTTACTGTCTGCTAACCAGTGCTCTATGAATGTTGTTATTTCAAGACTCCACTAGTTTGTTTTTGCTTTCACGTTCATAGTCCTCTGTTGATTTCGCCAGTCATTGCTAGTCATTCATATTCGATCTTTCAAAAACCACTGAGCAAAATTCACCTATTTTCTCTTTCAGGGGTAAATCCAAACCCCATGTATGTGGGTGTGGAAGTCCTGCTGGTAGCAGAACCAGTGAGGTTCCATGCTGTAGCAGGCAGATGAGTCCCCTTCTGGCCCCCTATCCATTTACCCAGCCCCAGCCTGTGTACTTGGGTTGCACATACAGCTGTGGATTTGATCCTTATTTCCATTTATTTTGTTGATCTTCCTAAAAAAGGACACAATCCTGCAAAAGGTCCAGCCTTCAAATCCAGGCCTTCAAATCCCACTGAATTCAGTGCAAAGTAAGGGTGTACAACAATTCACAGGATCAGATTAATTAGTTATCACATTTGGTTTCTCATGTTATAACACATCACAAATCCCTTAAAGAACTGCAGACAATTATTCTGATTTGCTTCTTAGCTGGCTTGCTTAACCAATCCTGTTAATAGAAAAGACCAGCTAGCTTTGGAATACTTAGAATACCCCTGTCCTGAGGGTGTTTTCTGCTCTGCTAGGTGAATTCCACTGAATAACTAAGTTACTGTAAAATTAAAGCCACTCCCTTCCTGCAAAAAAAGAGAACTGTAAGACTCCAGTATGGTAGGAAGGAATTCGGCCTCCAGCTTAGACACATCAGGGTTTTTCCCAAAGAGTTTAACTACAAGGTAGTCCCACCACACTTTTATTTTTCTTGACCTTTACTGTCATCTAAGTACCAGACTAAGCAACGTTAGTGTGTTTTTCCCCAGCGTCTTCCACTTTGGGTCTCTCTCACACACACACACACACTTCCCAGCATCTCACACTTTGGGTAACACACACACACACACACACACACACACACACACACAAAGACCACTCTGACTGAATACCCCCTCTTTCTTAAAATCTTATGGTGAGGAAAGCCTGGCTATTAAACAACTTAGAACTAGAGTTTTTGTGTGCAGTAGGGTACTTATTTATCCACTAGTTTCAATACATGCCTTTTTTATATTTAAAATTATAGCTTTTACAGGTCCACGGTAAACCTCTAGGTAAGAAAGTGGTGGGGTTTTTTTTTTAAAGAAAAATCTGCTTCCAAATCACTAAAAATAATTCAAGCATGTTTATATTTTCTTCTCATTGAGTTTAAAGGTATCATATTACTCATTCATCTTTTTATTCATCTCCTCTCTTCTCTTTAATGTATAAGATATTTAAAAATATTATATGAATTTATTGCTGGTGAAAAGTATCCACAGAACAGATCTAGTATGAATGGCAGCAGTGCAAGCCTTCACATCATTCTCTGCCAGTGTGCATTAACCTTTAGCTGGAGGTGCCAACTCTAGAAGTCAGAGGATAATTCAGACTATATGCTCTTTAATTCCTTGGCCATTCTGCTACGGGTGTCAAGGAGGGAATCAGTCAGCTCCAGTTTTGAAGGTGGGTTTTGTGATGTGGACTCTTCTTGCTGGGAAATGAACTAAGCAAACACATTTCCTATAGGGTCAATGAATAACTATCATATAGTGGCACCTATCTACCAATGCTTTGAATTCATGACTTAGAATGGCTTTATCTCCTATTATGATTCCAGCCCTCCTGTTTAAGAACTTTCAGGATCAGGATCCACTCTGACATCATTTTATAGGTTTTCCTACAGCAAATGATTTAGCTCAAGCCATCTGTAGTTTCATTGGACTGTGTCATTGCAAGAGTGCCGGGTTAATTTCTCTTTATTATTTGAGGGTGTCTGGTAGAGGAGCTAGAGGGGCTAGAGCCACTAACATGAAAACCATGAGTAAAGCCCAAGTGACTTCTGATTGCCATTCTAGGGATATTAGACACAGGACTCTTTTCCCCTACCTGCTAGCTATTTGAAAATTGAACTAGTGCAATGATACTCCCAAAACAAACTTTACTTTGGTTTGGCATGAGGTACAAGGCAATTCAGAAGTTGGCACTGCCTGAAAGTCTCTTGCCTTGTTATTTCCTTCCAAGAATGTTAAAAAAATTATGTTTTCCATTTCCATTACGGTTCATGCTGCAGAGCTAATAGTTTTTATACAAACAAATCTCCAGCAATCATGATAGTGTGAATGATTGAGGAAAGTGAAGATCTGAAACATAGTGTGGGATCTACCGGTAAATTAAAACTGATGAAGGTGTCAGCAATCTGTCTCGAGGAATATATGATACCAGATGTAATTTACAGGTATGCAACCCCTCCTCCGTCATTAATGCAGTCTTAAATGTCACCTTCTGAAGGCCAGGGAGTGGATTTTTAGTGTAAATTATTGCCTGCTGAGGATCAGCTGACACATGGTTGAGTCATTTTTGAGACTAAGTCTCTGGCACCTAAACCTATTTTCAGCTATTTCAGAACTGATTTTAATATTGCATTTCACCATAAAATTGGAATGTTAATAGGGTGAAAATAATATCGGCATTTGCCCATTCCATGAAAGCTGATTTCAGCCCACTCAGCAGACAATAAAATACATACTGAGTGAATGTTCATAATGATTGCTCCTGAAAGGTCCAGTAAGTGATTCTGCAATGTAAGTTATTTCCCACGGTATGTATGCTAGATGCATATAAACCATAATAGACCGGGCCAATACTTTCTCATAAGGGACATGTACTGACATTTTTGGACAGTAGCAGTCCTTGAATTTTCACTTCAACTACTGATTTAAAATGACATTGTCAGAAAGGAAACACCTACTGTGTGCCTTCACTTGCCTTCTGATCTCTTATTAGTTAACCCCAAAGTGCATATGTATACAGCTTTAATCCCCAAGTGTACATCTGAACCAGGGGAAATCTGGAATTAATTGTGAAGTATTTTGGTTACTAATGCAGCTGTTACAAGTGTTTGATTTGGCAAGGGAACAGAAAAGGCACTGCATACCAATTTCGTGAGCCACTGTAAAAGCTGCATGGAGGCCGTCATCTTCAATCACTGCACAGCTGCGCTCAGGAGAGCATATGGTCCCAACGTCTGCCATTCCCAGAGTATCACATGAATGATGCCCACATAAATCCTGCCAAGAAAGGGGGAAAAAATCATTAAAATAAATTTTTAAACCCACAAATAACAACAAGTAGAGTCACTGGCCCTTTGCAAACAGCAGGACCCGGATAATACTACTACTACTTTGGACAGTCATCTAAGGATCTCAGTGCAGTTTAAAAGCATGATGGCCCAATCCCAGCCCCATGAAAGTCAATGGGAGACTTTTCATTGACTTTGAGGGGAGTTGGATAAGACTTGCAATTAATTACTATGGTGCCTAGAGGCTCCCACTGACATCAGGGTCACATTGTGCTAGGCGCTATACATACGTATAGTAAGAGACAGTCCTTGAACAAAAGATCTTATAATCTAAATAGATAAAGATAGTGCGGGAGACTTATAATCCTCATTCTACAGCTGTGGAACAGAGAGAATGAGGTCACACAGAAAGTCAGTGGCCGAACTAGGAATTGAACCAGAGGTGGGCAAACTACGGGACCCTCCTGCCCGGCCCCTGAGCTCCTGGCCCGGGAGGCTCACCCCCGGCCCCTCCCCTGCTGTTCCCCCTCCCCTGCAGTCTCAGCTCACTGCGCCGCTGGCGCAATGCTCTGGGCGGCAGAGCTGCAAGTTCTTGCCGGGCAGCATAGCTGCAGAGCCGTGACCTGACCCGGTGGCGTGACTGGCTCCAGCCGGGCAGCATGGTGGCCTGTCCTGGTGCTCTGGGCGGCGTGGCTGTTGCACCGCCAGCCACCAGTGTTCCAGGCAATGTGGTAAGGGGGCAGGGAGCGGGGGGGGGGTTGGATAGAGGGCAGAGGAATTCGGGGTGGTGGTCAGGGGGCGGAGGTGTGGATAGGGGTCGGGGCGGTCAGAAGGCGGGGAACAGGGGGGTTGAATGGGGCTAAGGGTCCTGGGGGTGCAGTCAGGAAAGAGAGGGGCGGTTGATGGGGCAGCAGGGGGCAGTCATGGCAGGGGCTCCGGGGGTGGTCAAGGGACAGGGAGAAGGGGTGGTTGGATGGGGAAGGCATTCCGGGGGAGCAGTCAAGAATGAGAAGCGGGGTTCGATGGGGTGGCGGGGGGCAGTCAGGGGCGGGGGTCCGGGGACCATCAGGGGACAGGGAGGGGTGGATGGGACGGGGTCCTGGGAACCGTCAGGGAACAGGGAGGGCTTGGATGGGGCAGAAGTCCTGGGGGGGCCGTCAGGGGGCGAGAAGCAGGGGGGGCCGGATAGGGGGCAGGGGCCGGGCCATGCCTGGCTGTTTGGGGAGGCACATCCTCCCCTAACCGGCCCGCCATACAATTTCGGAAACCCGATGTGGCCCTCAGGCCAAAAAGTTTGCCCGCCCCTGAATTGAACCAAGACCTCCGGAGTCCCAGTCCAGTGCCTTAGCCCCAAGACCATCATTCCTTTCTAAAGAGGTCATTTTTTACCTACACTTAAGAAAATGAGATGGTCCAATATCTCCTATGCAATATTAAACCTCATAATAAAACGTAAGAGATAGGTACAGCATGTATTATTAATCACCATTTTACAGATGAGGTAACTGAATTGTACGTGATTTTTTTCCAAGATCACTTAGAGAGAGCTGGGTATGAAAACAGATGTCTTGACTCGCAGTCTCCTGTTGTAACCACAAAACTATGCATTCCTAGGCCTTAATGGCACTTATAATTAATAATATTTATATTTTTCATCAGTAGATCACAGGCTTTAATGTATTTATTCTTACAACATCCCTGTCAGGAAGGGCAGTGCTATTATCTCCATTTTATGGATGGGGAGCTGAGGCACTGAGAAACTCAATGACTTGCCCAAGGTCACACAGGAAGTCTGTGGCAGAGGAGGGAATTGAATCCAGGTGAGTGCCCTGACCACTGAACCTTTCTTTCTGTCCTTTAGAGTGTCTAAAAACTATACAGTGTGGTTGTAGCCATGTTGGTCCCAGGCTATTAGAGAGACAAGGTGGGTGAGGTCATATCATTTATTGGACCAACTTCTGTTGGTGAAAGAGACAAGCGTTCAAGCTACACAGAGCTCTCTTAGCAACAAAATTAACAACCAATATTAACTTTCCCAATGCTTCTGCTTTCAGATGGTAGCATTAATATTACATTGAGTGGCCATGCATATACATATTTGGCCTGATGTAAAGGTCAACAGAAAGACTCTCATTGAAATGTCAATGGACTTTGGATCAGGCCCTTATGTATTTTACATATACATAGTATGGACTGCTAAATCTGTCCGCAAGTTTAGCATTCTGTAATGTGCAAAATGCAATTAACAGACCCTGTGCAACAGAGATGGTCAGATGGCTTAAAGGGAAAATACCAAAATATGCCTATTCCACAGTCGATCTACCACTTAAGAATGGTTGGATGAAAGTGCCATTTGAAGACACAACTATATTTTAAAATGCATCTGTCAAAGAAATCTCCCTGCTTGGTACCTTTTTTCTCTAAAATCATTCAGATTCTCTTCCTTCCTTCAAATCTCCATTTAAAATGGACCGCGTCTATCAAGCCACTGACAATTACAAAAGCTGTGAGCAGGCCAGGCGTAAAGGAGTTTAATGGAGTTTGAGCAGTGTAAGCTACAGCTTAGATGCAGAGAGAGGTAGAGGAAGGTGCACTCTGTATCTGGCTACTCCTGCTTTTAAACACAGTTTTTGTATCAGTACATCTATTTTGTTAAGGGGTGTGATTTTTTATCACGATAGTAATATCGGCAAAACCCATAATGTGGATGCTGTGATACTGGTATAAAGGTGCCTTATACCACATAACTGCTACCACATTAGGGGCATTGTACTGCTTTAACTATACCAGCATAGTTAAAGAGGTATAAATAACCTTTGTATATAGAAGAGCCCTTAGATTCACTTCTGAATTTTCCTCTGTAAGCTGGTAGATTCATGACAGAGATGTTAACTACAATACTTCACTAAATGAATTCTGCCTGAACATACATATTACTCTTAAATTTCCAAGGTGGTGCATGGGGATTTCACCCTGCCACTTCTATTAATGTCAAGACTGCTACATATACAGAAGTTGGTCCAATAAACGATATTACCTCACCAACCTTTTGTCTCAGATATATATACATGTGGCTTTCAACACGCCAGGGCATCTGTATTCAGCAATGCTTTGTTAATATGGTCATGTTGCTGACATCACATCAGACTGCATGCTGTGTGTCACCATACAACAGACAGGTTTTCAGAAATTTTGCAACACTGCCCAAAAAGTGTATTCTCATCTCCAGTAGTTGCCCAAAGTGCTGTACATGCCAAAGTCAAACCTATACCCAAACAGCTCACCAACAAATGTCACTACCATGCTCGTCTTCGTAACATTTGAATGTAGCCAAAATAAAACAGGCTTGAAAGATGTCCCCTATAATTTCTTTGACTCTTTTTCCTGTTTTTACAGAACTTCACATAAGGCGATTTGAGTCCCCAATGAGCTGCATTATTTAGTGGTCACAACCGGAAAATCCCAAGGGAGGAGATCAATTACACTGAAAATGCAATAGCTTTCAAGCCATGGTGTTCCTAAGTTATCATGCTATTAGGAAGGGGTGTATGTTCCCTCTTAGGGAGGGAATGAAGCATGTGATCATAAACCCCTATATGGGAAAAAGAAGAAGGGATGAAGGGAACAACAGAAATTGTGGATGTAGAGAGCAGACCCATGGATCCAGTATTTGGTGGTGGAAAAACTTTGGTCATTTGGGTCATCTAAGCCTCCATTCCTGTGATGCAGTAGGTGCCAGGCAATGTGGAAGAAGGGTGGATGTACGTTGCAGGCTCAGTCAGTGAATTTTGGTAGAGAGTTGGGCATGAGAGGAGAGGTTGGGGGTAGTGGTGGAAGGAGGACCTGTGGTGTGGGGATTGGAATTGCTGTCTGGTGTTAGCTTCTTGGTGTAGAGTGATTATTGGAAGAGTGTGGCTGTGGGCTGCTCTTTTACAATGGCTGTAACTATAGTCAAACTTGCGTTGGCTTGGTTTTGGAGATTCAGATTTACATACTGCCAGCGGTGGTTTATCCTGTTTTTCAATCCTGGGTAACTATGCATAGATGCATTTTTTTTACTTAAGTTAATGCTATCATTATCCACGTTAACTTAGGCAGACTTTTAGACATGCATTTCCATGCTGTTCTCAGCTCATGATCTCAACTATGTTTCCTTTCCCCTGCCTCTCCATGGCTGCTCAGACTTGACCTATGTAACTCATTTTACTGTGGTTCTGTATAATGTACACCCTGCATTTTTTAATCCTACCAAGTGATGATTCTGAGACAACTGTTCTGCAATTACATTGCTTTCATACTCTTTACCTCAACTCGCTACCCATTCCCTAGTTGCCTGGTCTTTTTCAATAGCAAAGACTTGGACTATATTATTAAGAACCTAGCCTGTTTATACTTATGCGGATTGAAACTTGTAGGACAAATTTTGTCCTGATGTATACACCTCAGTGGTCCCATTGACTATTGATGGTTAGTTGTAAGTATCAATAACATTCTTAGCTTCCCTGGGAAGTGTCAGATACAACCTCAGATGCTCCTAAAGTTGCTCCTAAAGTAAGGTTGCTGGGAGTATATTGGAGGTTTTTATTGCACCTGAAGAGTATTCTTGCTTAAAATCAGACCCTGATGTAATGATGTAACCTAATAAATCTGCAGGCTTGCTCAATTTTTCAAACTGCTTCAAAAGCACTAAGCAAGCATGGACCCATATAATACTTTTACTTAGTTTTCAAGCATTATTTCCACATAATGTGTGGTGTTCATTTAAAGAGTTAGATACCCATTCATATCTGTCTAATTTCATCTGACCTTTAGCTCACTTAATTATCTCCAAATAATGGTGGAAACTTTCAAGAATAAACATTTCTTGCTCTTTCTAAAGAAAGAATTCAGTCTGCCCTTTGATCTCGATTGCAGTAGTTTCAAAATGATGCATCAATAGGAAATGCATTCGCTGTACTGGAGACAATAGATGGTAATCCTAAAGGTTTG